GGAGACACGCGGTGCCCTGCCCTGCCTCGTGCGGCTCCGGTTACCCCGCGGCCGACAGTAGCGCTCTAGGAGCGTTGTGCCGCCGTTCCCGCCAGCTGGCGCCGCCCCCGGGCTCTGCTCGCCCTGTGGCGTTTCCAGCAGTTTCCAAACTCTCCGAACGCTCCTTTCTTTCAGGGGCCATAAAGAAGCAGGAAAAAACCTGAATTTTTTTTCCCCTCCTCCCCTCTGCAGGTCACCCCTAAATCTTGCGGGCCCACTGAGGTGAGTGCCGTTACCCTGGCTGCACAGGTGGGGGCTGGCGCCGCCCCCGGGCTCTGCTCGCCCTGTGGCGTTTCCAGCAGTTTCCAAACTCTCCGAACGCTCCTTTCTTTCAGGGGCCATAAAGAAGCAGGAAAAAACCTGAATTTTTTTTCCCCTCCTCCCCTCTGCAGGTCACCCCTAAATCTTGCGGGCCCACTGAGGTGAGTGCCGTTACCCTGGCTGCACAGGTGGGGAGGGACTGGCTTACCCCCAAGGTGGAGGAGGCCTGTGTCAGAAACAGCAGAGCATGGCTGCTGCCTGCTGCCCCCTTCTGGGCTAGGCACTGGGCTCTTGCCTCATGTCGTGGTGGGGATTGGCCGAAAATGGGGATGGGGCCTAGTGGGCTGGGAATTCTTCCGGTCCCTCCCCCCCTCCAAATCCTGAGGGGCTGGGGTTGGGTGGCAGCACTGTCACGGCACAAACTGATGCCCTCGCCTGGCCCCACCCCGGCCTCGTCCCTCCAGCCTGGTGACACGTCTCTCTCCTCTCTCCCCAGCCGCTCCCCCCGGCATGAGAAGAAGAAGAAGATCCGCAAGTACTGGGACGTGCCGCCCCCTGGGTTTGAGCACATCACCCCCATGCAGTACAAAGCCATGCAAGGTATCTATCCCACCTAGGTGCCGTCTGTCCGGGCAGGGAGCAGACCTCTGCCAGCCGCCCTGGCCCTCTTCTAGCTCCCCCCACGCTCGTCTGCTCATCGCCCCCACTCTCCCACCAGCGCAAGGGGGGCGGGATTGGCTTTTGACCGTGTGGATCGGTGTTTCTCTTTCCCAGCCGCGGGTCAGATTCCAGCCACAGCTCTCCTCCCGACCATGACCCCTGATGGATTGGCCGTGACCCCCACCCCAGTCCCGGTGGTTGGCAGCCAGATGACCCGGCAGGCCCGCCGCCTCTACGTTGGAAATATCCCCTTCGGCATCACTGAGGTACTAGCGGCTTTGGCAGCCTGGCTGCCGTGCTCTCCTGTCCGTGTGTCGCCCGCCCTCTCTCTGTGCCTGGGACCCGTCGAGGAGCGCCGGAGGACGTAACTTTTCTTTCCAAAACAGGGGGGTGCTGGCAGCCAAGGAGAGCTGAATCCAGAGAGCGAGGCCTCTACGTTGGAAATATCCCCTTCGGCATCACTGAGGTACTAGCGGCTTTGGCAGCCTGGCTGCCGTGCTCTCCTGTCCGTGTGTCGCCCGCCCTCTCTCTGTGCCTGGGACCCGTCGAGGAGCGCCGGAGGACGTAACTTTTCTTTCCAAAACAGGGGGGTGCTGGCAGCCAAGGAGAGCTGAATCCAGAGAGCGAGGGTGACGCCGTGCGGCTAAGCGCCTAGCTCAGGTTTCAGTCTGTCCCCCCATGATGAATGCGGATGGGTCTCTCTACTTACCCCTATGCAATTTGAGTCTCCGCTGCTTGCCCTCTTCGCTCCCGGGCTTGGTAACGGGAGCACAGGTGTAGTTTGCACTTTCCTCCGCTCCAGTCACTTGCGAGCCCTTGTTTAATTTGTCCTGCCTGGTGACAGCCGGGGCTGGCTCCCCCTCCAGCTAGCGGTAGGGCCCGGACGTGTCTCTTATTATTTGAATTTGACTCTCGCTCAACCAAAAAACCAAGATCAAAAAGTTGTTTCCATTTCTTTTTAAAGTGAAAATTGTGGGGCTGAAATCCCTCGTAGCACAAAAGTTTGCTACCATCATGCAAGGCAAGTAGGCTGTTCTAGTTTTCCCACCTGCTCTTTGCTATCTATTTGAAATTCCCGGCGCCGCTGGCCGCGCTGCCCTACTTCACTCCCCTCCTGTCTCTCTCTCTGCAGGAGGCCATGATGGATTTCTTCAACGCTCAGATGCGCCTCGGAGGGCTGACCCAAGCCCCTGGCAACCCCGTCTTGGCTGTGCAGATCAATCAGGACAAGAATTTTGCTTTCTTGGAGGTGAGTGGGGGGTTTTCGGTCCGTCTGTCTGTCCAGCGCCTGGCACAGTGAGGCCCGGGGCACCTGGAATAGACCTAACTGTCCCATTCTGGTGTCCAGAAGAATGTTCCGAGAAGAGCCACAAAAACAAGTTGAGGCTTGAAAAAAAATCCTTATCGGGAATATAGGTTGCCTCATGAGGAAGTAGGGATGTTAAATATCGGTTAATTGAATAGTCGATTAACCTCATGAATTCTTATCAGTTAGTCGGCTATTCTGTAGTCCCTGGCGTGGAGTCAGCAGCCAGTGCACTCCGGTCCCAGGCCTGAGGTGCCCCTTCCACTCAGTGCTGCTGCCTCTGTATCAGAGGCAGCAGCGCGAGGTGCCAGGCGGGAGCTGGTCCAAGAGAGGAGCTGGTCACAGACCGGCTGCCTGTTGCTCCGCACTGCTGCCTCTACTACAGAGCCAGCAGCGCGGGGAGGCAGAAGCCCCAGTCCGGAAGAGGGGGTGTCTAAGCTGCCAGACTCAGCGCAAGCCAGAACTAAGCCAGGCTGCCCGCTTGGCTCCTAATACACTTTAAATGCAGAGCATTTCTTTTCCTTCTGTTCTTACCCTTGCTGTGGCTGAACAGAACATACGTCCTGGACCTGGCGCAAGCCAGGACTTAGCCGGGCTGCTGGCCAGCCTGCTAAAACATTTACTGGCGGGAGGGGTGGTAATGCATGTAGTCTGTAGCATTAACTTATAAGCTTTTGCTTGTCGGTTAATCGACTACACCAGTGTTTCTCAAACTGGGCTCCGCGAGATTGACAAACTGGAAACTTCGATAGGTACAACACATACAGTCAGTGGACCGCATAAATTTTTATGCATGTAAAGGGCTCTGAGCCTCAAAAGTTTGAGAGCTGCTGGACTACACCATTGTATCCCTATGAGGAAGTTGAAGGGTGACTTGATCCAATCTCGAAGTGCCTAGATGGGGAGCAGAAATGAGATCTTGGGCCCTTTCGACTAGCAGAGCAAAGTCTACCTGCTCCTGTGTCTGCCGGTTGCACCTAGAGAAACTCACACCATGAATAAGGTGTAAATTTTTCACTGTGAGGAGACTTCACCATTGAAGCAACTTCCCAAAGGCTGGAGTGGAATTTCCAGCACCAGAAATCCATATTGGCTCTTTTTTGTGCCAGATCTGCTGTGATTTGAACAGGAGCTATTGGTGGGAGGAGGGGGGGGACTGTATTATGCGCTGGATCCGTGGTATCCAACCAGATCTGAAGCAGTAGCCACTATTGTGGCTAATGCTAGAGCAAACTAACCACACTCAGCTGCCCAACTGGCCACACTCAATGGCCCAGAGAGCCACGTGGCTAGCATGTTGGACCTCACGGTGCTAGATGAACGCAGCAGTCCCCTCTGGCCATAGGTGGTGTGAATTTCTCACTTCCGGGTTAGTCAGAGCCGTGTCGGACCCCCTGTGTTGTCCTGGTCTCCTCGCTTCATGTGTGAGATGGCTCCCATGAGACGGGTGTGGAAGAAGAGCTAGGAGAAGGATAGGTGGGCTGGGGAGCATGCTGTGACGGCGCGATGGGGTTTCCCCGTCTCCTGCACCCCGAAATGGCACAAACAGACTGCACCAGCTGGTGTAATGGAGGTTGTTTATTGCCTCTCCAGGATACAGCACAGCACAGATGTAATCTGGTCACAGAGCTGGGCTAGGATGCCTCAGGCCCCCTTGAGATGGGGGAGACTGGGCCCCCTAAACTCCAGCCCCTTTCCCTAGGCTGTCTCCTCCATGCTTCCAGCCAACAACCCACTAACTCTCTTCCAGCCCTCCCCCCAGCCAGGGCAGCATCCACCTTCCTTTGTTCCTCTCCATGGGGGGTGTCTGGTTCAACAAGTTTGGCATTACCTTTGCATAGTGAGGTTTTCCCTGCTGGGTCTTGCTCCAGACAGCAGGGGTCACCACAGCCCAGCAAGTACCCCCACTACGGCACACCTGCCTCCTAGCGAGACTTCAGAAACTGAGTCGATTGACTCTCTGTGGAGGGGGCTGAAAGGTGAATTGGTCCCCGGCTGGCACCTCTCCGGGGAGGAGCCGTCTGCTGGCAGAGGACTTTTCAGTCTAGCGGAAAGAGGCAGGAGCAGAGCCAGTGGCCGGGAGAGGATGGAGACCAATTCTGGGGCAGATTTTTCATGGTAGGGGAAGGAACCATTGGCGTCACTGGCCTGGGGGCGGCGTGGCTTCTCCGTGTCTCAGCGTGCTGGAATTCAGACTGGATTCTTCTGACTGTGCCCCTCTTGCTGCCCCCCAAAGTTACAGAATCAGAACTATTGGGCTGGAAGGGACCTCGAGAGTCAGGAGGACCTGGACCGGCACTGGTGGGGTTTGTCCGACCTGTCACTAAAAGCCTCCAGCGATGGGGATTTCGCAGCCTCCTTAGGAAGCAGGTTCTAGAGCTTGTCTGCCCTTATTTTGGTAACATCTGACCAAAATCAACCATCCTGCTGATTTAAGCCCATTGCATCTGGTCCTGTCTTTGGCGGGCATGAAGAACAATTGATTCCTGGCTTCTTTGCATCCCATGTTTGAAGTTTTTTTGTTTGTTTGTTTGTTTTCTCGGTCATCTTGTCTCAAATCAACCTGATTTTTCTAACCTTTCCGCTGACATCAGCTTTTCTAGCTCTTTGGGTCATGTTTGTCGCTCTCCTCTGGACTCTCCGGTTTGTCTGTGTCCTGCCTCAAGTGTGACACCCCAGACTGGATCCAGGCCTCCAGCTGGGCCTTCTCAACTGCCATTAATCCCACCCAGGAGGTCTGCCTTTTTAGTAACCGCATCTGTCAAGGCTTCGCGTGCAGAAGGTGGGGACCTGCAGGAGACTTTAAAAATACCTTGCCTCCGTAGGCTTCTGCTTAAAAACTCCCCAAGATCCTCTCCCTCGGGGGAGAGCTTGCAGACAAACTGCAATTTCTGTTAGCAGACCCCTCAGTCTCAGGCCCGTGCACACCGGCCCTCATGCCATATCGGAATCAGATCCTAGTCTTAGGTGATTTTCTTAACAAAATAGAAAAGACGACACTTGTAAAGCCTACTTGGTTGCCGGAGTTACAGAGCAACGGAGAAAAACAGCTGAGAAGACGGAGAATTGCTTCCCTGGGATTCCGCTTCCATTATGGTGCCCAGGCTGAGCACAGAGTTCGCGAACCAGCAATTTAAAACAGTTACCTGATCGCATCTAACGACACATTCCCTGTCGACTCATGTTATTGTTCCCAGGTTCCGTCCTTTGTCGACGTGAATCTCGCTGGATTGTTTGTCAGAGGCTGGAGAGGGATGGCAGGAGACAAATCGCTTGATCATTGTCTTTGGTCCACTCCTTCTGGGGCACCTTGTGCTGGCCACTGTTGGCCAACAGGCTACTGGACTAGATGGACCTTTGGTCTGACCCAGTACAGCCATTCTTACGTTCTTATAGATGTTCCACGTCCGGTTCTCAAGGTTCACTTGGTTTTCCCCCAGTTTTTTCTCCCTAAATCCACCCAAAGAACTGCAGCAGGCACATCCCTGCTTTCAATTCATACTTCACACGTTCCTCCCATTGGCTCTCCTGGCAACACTTCCCGGACAGCCACTATTCTGGGTTTAACCCTTTAGTTACTGAATGCTGGGGTGTCGAGAAAAGGGTAGGACCCCTCCCATCCATCGCCACTAGCCCCATGGTTCTCGTCAGCCCTGCGACCCTCGGCCCGGGAGTCCCCATTTTGTAGCCGTGCGTTGGCTTCCTCTTCCCCAAGGGAAGTGCTTCGTGCCCGTCTTCGCTGAGGTTCATGGGCTTGATTGCAGGCCCACTTTCAAGTCGTTTGGCATTCTAGCCCCGCCCTCCAAAGCACTGCAGACATATGCGGCAGCTCAGGAGAGATTCCAGTGCCACCCAGCTGATGAGCAGCAGACCCACAGCTAAGTTTTGTTTGTATGGTGGTGCACATTTCCATGGGCCTTGGTGCACATATACAAAAATTATTCCGCACATGAATGGGACTGATTAGAGGGGACATTGCTGGAGACCCTTCCCCGCTCGGTCTCACCTGCAGGTTTTATAGGCACGCATGTTTCTCCTTTATACTAATCGCTAACGCCAGTATTGCCTAGTACCAGGCAATATTATAACAGGATAACTGCTTAAGCCTGTTAAGCCTGGGCTCGTCGGTTCTCATTAACGGTTACACACAGGCTCTCAGCCCTGCTCCTGGGGAGCTGGCTACCACCCTGCACTGCTGCTGCATCTGTTTCAGAGGCAGCACTGGGGGGCGGTACATGTCTCCCCAGGAATGGGACTGGCTGGTGGGAGCCCATATGTGCCGGGAGCCGGCTTAAAGCTGGCTCCCCACTGCTGGCCCCGTTCTCAGGGAGCCCGCAGTGCAGCCAGCCTCAGCAGTGGGGCTGCAGAGCCTGCAGCGTGTAACCGTTGAGACTTTCACTGGTTACATGGTTCCCTAATTCACCGCTTTTTAACATCCCTAGTACCTGGCCCAGGACTGACGCCTGCAGGGCCCCGCTAGATCTGGCTTCCCAGTTGGCTAGTGACCCCTTGCTGGCTAGTCTGAGCGCCGGTCTTTCAGCCCGTTGTGCGCCCCTCTAGGGAGGCGTTTCATCGGGGCTCGCTTTGCATTTGACAGTGTGGTGTGGGATGCCTCAGGTGGGCCGTTTGCCCCTCTCCCGCAAGCCGCTCACCCGGTCAGAGAAGGCAGCTCGGTTGGTTTGGCATGTGCTGTTCTTAGCAAGCACCCGTGGGCAGTTCCTTGTAGCCCTGCTACCCTTCCAGGTGCTTACGAATCGACTGTCGAATCATTTGGCTGTTGGATCAGCGGCAGGGCTCACAGGATGAAGTTCTCTGGGTTGTTAGACCCAAGCTAGAGGGTGCCAGGTCTCTTCCGGACTTGGGAGTCTAGGGAAGGGGGTGTAGAGAGTGCACTCCTAGGTGTTTTGGGATTGCGGGGTGTCCATGCCGTAGTGCTGTATGCGGGGGTGTTGCCCACGCAGGGCAGGCGGCAGGAGTGGATCTAGTCCGGG